GAGGCCTTTACGGTGGCTAGAAGCGCTAGGCACGCAAGTGTAGGGGTCGCGTCACTTCCCTACTTCGAAAAACGTTATTTAGACGCTAGGCTCTAAGAACTTTGACACGCTCCACCTGCTGCGACACGCTCCGCCCACCGCTCGATATCTTGACTGCGTCGGAATGTTGATCTGCTATGCTCTCTCTACTTAGACTTCTCTAGCGCTCTCCGCGCTCACATTATCTCTCATCTCCCTGCCGGCCTTTTGAACTTCTCCGCACCGTAGAGGAAATGGCTCGTATTTCCTAAGCATTTCACGATTTCTTTTTCTCTTTTCTGCACTGGCGGTCCACTACCTACCCCTACTTTCACATTTAAGTGGAATTAACTCATAATTCAATCCTGAATCTTGCCTTTAAAGCCACTGAACCATCTACAAAGGGAATCAACATTTCCCGTGGCAAGACCAAGTAGTCTGTCACAACATGTTTCTTTATTCGGAGCATTCAACAGATGACTCGAGAAGGCTATAAGGAAGCACATGCTCGAAGGCGAAAAGATGATACAGGATGAAAAATAACCTTGCAATGTGACGCATGACAATAGCTAAATGTTGGGCACATTTCACTCCAGAGGTTACTGCCTTCTGAGGAGGCTGCAGCATTACATCGTGAGTAGCTGGAGTAAGATAGTAAAGCTTGCACGCTCTTATCGTTAGCCATTTTTTGCACCTTTTCCCTATGCAAATGTTATCTCACTCAGCAATCACACGTACCTCGGCACAGTCAGTTGCTGAGTACGATCGCATCTTTATAAGTCCAGTTTCAAAGCAAAAAGGGGTTACTGATGCTGTATTGCGTATCTTGACTTCATGGAGCGGGTGCTGACAATCTTGGAGAACAGAATGCCATGCAAAAAAGCTTGTTTACAAAAGAAGTTTTACCTCATACTGTGTACCATTCCGCCTTCTTTCGATATTCGTCACGAACTCGATCCATTGTGTGGTTTCGACTGTTTCCTTTTGACAGATCGAATCTGAGCAAACATATTATTTGTTATTCTTGTTCGCAGAATATTAATATTTCAAACTTCTCATTATACTACAAGTGAAAGTGTAATTGAGGAGGCAGAATACTTCGTCAAAAAAGTGCCATCATGGATATAAAGATTTATAAAGGAAAAAAAACACCATTCATGATGTAACTTGATCTGAGCAAAATGTCCTACCGTTCGATGGCAACGTTGAGACGATTGGAACCTTTCCGAATGTGGGTAAAAAGCAGGTAACCATTTCTATGTCTTCCACCTGAAAACAAAATAAGCTGTCATCGTACAAAACGTGGTCGGCCTTCAGTAGATTTTCAACCCATCTTCCTCACTACATCGACAATGGTATGGAACGCAACCACTCGAAATGGGTTTATGATCTAATATCACATAGATCTTGGAATCTCCTGATGGATAAGGCGCACAGAACTATCCAGAAATGACCACAAGCAAATCTACGAAGCTAAATAGGAGAAGAAGAACAGTGCGTGAGGAGCACAAGGGACACGCGCTGTGAAGGTATGTAGGCCCACTGAAAATGGGCAGAGCGTGCGTTGGGTGGCCGAGTTTTCTTAAAAATTTCGTATATATTATACATGAGTGCTTATCTGTCATAGAAAGATCTGAGATATACATAGGCCAACTATGGAGGAGAGGCCAAGGGCTAACGGTGAGCGTGGCGCGTCCACTATAGTGGCGGATTCGCTACGAACGTTATAATGTGGTTTTGGCCCCTGCCGACGACCGAAAAAAGATAGGCCAGCGGGGTAAGTCGTCGTCCATATTGTAAAGAGAACGTGGAGGGAAAACGATAGCGGATGAAACGTGTGGAGAGATCTGTTATGTATCTTATTTTCGAGTATAATTTCAAATGATGTGTATAAACCAAGGTATAGCGAACGTAAAGTCAGAAATTCGTAAGCTAAAAAAAGGATAAAGCATTTGCCGTTGATCAATCCCTTTTTGGGATGCGGCACGCATTCTACTTCCATTTGTACATTCAGTGGCGTTTGAATGCGATGTGGCCTATACAATGACTTGCGGGGGCCAGCCGATGTACAAGTCAGTGTTTTTATCCTCCCAGACAAGTCTGGTACCAATTAACCGACCCCGGAGGGATGGAAGGCTTGGTTGGCCCGGGCGACTCACGACCCAGGATTTGATCCCCGGACCGCTCGCGTGGTAAGCGCGCCACTTGTCACTACACCACTTCCGCCCAGTTACATTCGCCAATTTTATGCTATAGATAATAAAATGCTGAAAAATGAATGTTTGGAGCTCAGCATCAGATCTTTTAAGAGAGAAATTAGCTGAAAGTCACAGTTGTTTGAGGGAAAATATATAATCTGTTTTTGATCTTATGAAAATGGAATTTCACGGAATTGGGGAGATCCTGTGAATTTTCAAAAATCCTATGGGAAAGCGAAGTGGAATGGGATGGTGGTAGGACCTGTATATGTAGGTGGTCAGAGGGATTAGGATTTCAGCTGGGAATTGACTGAAATTTCTTCGAAACGTGGACCAACTGACATTCATTCAAGAATTCAAAGATTTTTCAAGCCATAGAATCATTCAGGTAGGCTTACTACATACAGTGTACTCACGTTATACCTTACCAAATCCCTTCACTTACTTTACTTTTTTGAAAACGGCGGTTTTTGGTTCGTTAAGGGAGAACATTCAGTGAAACTAAAGGTCATCAGGGAACCACTACAGTACATGAGAATATGGTAAGCCCAAGAGGAGGGGAGGGAGCTGGGAACGATCCGTGAGCAAGTTTAGCGTTCATCGCCTATTCTGAGGCTTACATTAGTCCTTGTACCACCTAACATCGACCCTATTTTTTGAATTCCCCCCTTTTCAACGAGGCCATGAGCGCCGAATAAAAGCCGACTGAAGCGGAACTCAAAAGTAATCAAACCGGTAGTCACCAGTCAAGAATGGTTCTGAAATCAATAAAGTATGCTCTGGAAATCGGTAAAAAATTAAATTTACGAACCTTGTCCCGATTCTTCTTCTCACGAAGCCACAGCTGAAGTGGACTGGGTGTTTCGCAGTCGCACGAGAAACTGCTCGTATTACCTCCTAGGGAAACACGCTTCACTGTATTGAGCACCTGGAAATGATCCATGAAAATTGTTTTTGTATAAAGGATTAAGAAGAATGAAGAAGATGGAGCGGTAGAAAGTGACATTACTCCCAAACGCAATACCTGAAGTTTATCTCGAATTTTCTGGTCACTAGGGCACAGCGAAAGGTTGAATAATACTGTTAACAGGGAATCCCGCTTTTAGCGGAGAAATTGAAGCTGGGATGGCCGCTTACTTTGATATCATCAGCGGTCAGTTGAGTCAGTGAGTTGTTGGCTAGCTGCAGGTAAGTGAGGCGTCCAAGCCGTGGTGGGATCCTGGAGAGTGTGTTGGAAGTGAGCTGAAGCCGTTTCAGTGAGCTGATAGATGCCAATGAGCTCTGCAATAACACATACAGCACATACATACAAAGCATGTGTAAGAGGAAAAATCCACAAGCTCACCAGTTCATCATCAGCGATGGTCGTATTCGATATTCGCAAAGTGGTGAGGCGGCGCAACTTCTTAAAACTTGTTACACTTTAAACTGTTAAGCTTTTATTAAACTGTTAAACTTTTATTCACTACAGAGAAGGGAAGAGATGTGATTTATGATGAAAAACTCAAAAAAGTCGATAATATGTGTAAAGAAAAAAGGGAAGGGTCAGAGTGGTTTCCGTTTATTACAGCTTATTTTTTAAAGATTGCTGAAGCTAAATATTATAGTAAACGAAATAGTTGGGTACAGGAAATTCCAGGGGCCATTTTTGTCAATTACCAATACGAGATATTGTAACAACAGAGTGCAATGTGGCAAAAGCAAAGAAGCCTTTCATGTCGTAGGTTTTGGTCCCAAGCCAGGCAACATTGGTTCCAATTACGACAGGAAGAAACATGTGCTTGGCTTGGCGGCACAGACCCCATTCCCTCGCGGTATCCCTCCTACTAGTCTGGCTATCCCGAGAACTGCTTTGAAGTCTGAATTCACGATGGGAAATTAGCTCATTTTAAATAAGGGTTGAGGTGGTCAGGGAGCAGAAATGAAGAAAAAACCATGAGAAACGGCCCAGAACCCGAGAAATGGGACCCCTTCCTTGCCCGTTGATTTGCGCATTGATGCGACTCTCATCGCTGTGCCCTCTTCAACACTACGCTCTCTCTGCTATCTAATCACTCGCCACGTATAGACCTGCGGCGAGTGATTAGATAGTCGGTGGGCGTACCCCGCCAACCGCGCCAAGAGTGAGCCATGCTAGATCGCCGAGGTCAAATCTTTCGCTGCCAATTAGGTGTCTGCACCTGCAGTTCTTCTTCGGTCTACACCTGCAGAAGGTCCGCCTGTCTCCCAGCTATGGTATTTTCTCCTTTTTTGATCTTCGTTCTTATCGTGAATTCCTCCTTCAAGACTAAATACGCACTGCAGTCCTTCCTTCTGAGTTCATCGGGAAGAACCCGTGCACATTTTGTCTAATTAAAGAGTCCAGAAGTACTTCTCCTAATTTTCTATGATTACTTTGCTATTCCACATGCCTTTTATTGAAAACGCTGTGTAAGCTATAATCATGACAACACTTAAAGGCAAACCCCGGGATTAGCCCGTCTAGTAGGAGGGATACCACGAGGGAAATTGTTCGGTCCGTACGTAACTGGATCACTCCAGCTTCGTCGCAAAAACTGCGCGGTTAGGGCGCTAATCCTTACGGGCCCACAACCATCGACTCCCTTCCAACGCATTCCACCCGACGCGAGAGGTGGTGAGATCAGCGTGCATTGATGAGAGATCAGCGTGCTCTCTCAAACGACGTGCTCTCTCGCGTATTTTGTCTTCTTTGACCGCCCTTTCTCGCCATCGTACCACATCCGACCCTATTAAAGGTTAAGACCTTAGTTTCAGCGTTCCCGAAGATTTTCTTACTTTCCTTCCCACTTTCAGATTGTTCCGCAGCTAAGCTATCACTACAAAGCGCTGATAGCACCTGTTTGATCCCGGATTTTGCCTTTAAGCAAGTTATTTCCGTGCACAATTGCATTCTGCACGAAGGAAAAGTAGGGTTCTATCCTGGGCGTTAGATTTACTTCAGAAGGCTGCAGGATTGCTAGTAATCAGGTCAAAGCGTCGTGGTTTCAATTGCCAGAAATTTCACGGCCTTCTTTATGCGTGATTCTCAATAAGAATCGCCTAACCACACGCCTTAACCTTGAGTAGTCAGGGAAGAGATGTGAGAATTTCACGAAAAAATCTCCTATTGACCACTTCAAACCCCCACCAAAATTACGAGAAACCCGCCAATACAACATCCCTCTCTCGTCACCAGCAAGCCATCCAGCTTTCGAAAATACGATCCCTAATTTCCGGCTTTTGACCATCAATCAAGCCCCTCAGCAAATGAGACTTAAATTACGACCCCCTTCTTGTTAATTATGGGACGCACCAGCCACAATCGATCGCTAAGACGCTAACGGATATGTATTGCTGCAAGTGAATTAAGCGAAACAAAGCTCAGGAATCACACCTCTTACCGCTCACTCCCACGCTTGATTTCAGCACATTTTCCACACTATATGCATACTTCTCACTGTAGTTGCATTCATCGTTGGAAAGACTATATTTTGTTTTGTAATTTTTGACCGGAAACTGGACTCCTTTACATGAAAAAGGTTCACAGTTGTCTTGAAAAACCCAGACAATGAGTCTCAAGGAAATCAAGCAGAAATGTTTGAAAAAGAGCAAAGAGTGATTTTGAAATACCTGGAGCTTCTCAATATCCCAATGTTTCCAGTTAGCCGAATCGAGACGCAGTTCTGTAGTTGACTCAGGGAATATTGTCGAGGTGATCCAGTCGTAACTTGGTGCAGTGCAATATGTTCTGCCCGTTCTATAAGGGATCATTACTTGCAGCAAATGAAACAGGTGAAATAAAATTCCAGCCCTAAGTGCCGCCTAAATTTAGTGTGAATGTGCTGGAAGCACTGAAGTAATACTGTAAGTCCACCAGGTACATATTGCGGAGACAAACACGGAGGACTATAGCTAAGGCACGCAAAATCACTTGCTTAGGTATCTGATCGTAGTCCTTTACGGCGTCCGTTGAATTTTTGCTTGGGGAGGGATTACTCGTATAGCATACATTATACGAAGTTATACGAGCATTCACATAAAGTAGAGGCATCGGTGCCTGAGAGCAATTTCAAGTGAAGGCCCACTTCGATTGGGGGCAAGTCGTGCCTGTAGTGGTCGAGCACTGCCGCATGTCGCAGCATGCGTACCTGTCATACATACTGCACAACCGTTTATTCATAGTGTCTGCCGGTTGCGAGTGCAGCTTAATACTTACTCCGAAGCCATCTGTATTATTGAGCTTCATAATCTTCGGATGCGTTCAGTATTGAAAGGCAAAGTCGGCAATACTGGCCAGTGGTGACACTGACCACGAGGACGGTCCAGATCTGGGTTGGGAATAAAGACCGGATTAAGTCTGAATCAAGAAATTTAAGCCTTACATCCCTTACGGGTCGGTCACTTGTCACGAGGCTATGCGAGAATGAATCACTGACTTTCACGATCGTACATCAGATGACCTTCGCGGTTATTCTGTAGCTCAAATGGCATAGGACTATGAGTGGGTATCAAATACGTGGCGCATCCGGAAAAGGATAAGCCAACTTCCAATACTTCACACTTTAATTCGCACTTGAATATAACATTTTGGTGACGGTGTCTAATTTTTCAGGTCCACAGAAGTACTTACTCGAGATTCCATATTGGCAGAGCGATAGCAATGGCATTGTGGTGGACATGAACTTCGGCACGAGCACGTGTCATCCTCGCAACAAGTGCACGATAATGGGCAAAGCTGAAAAAGTGATGTATTGCTCATACACATTCTACCATACGGAAGGACAAGCACCTCTAAATGTCAAATGGGCTCAATAAAATGGGTCAGCTGAGTAAACAAATAAATAGGGCGCAGTATTTCTTTAAAGACAAGAAAAGCTTCCTCTCTAGCAGCGGCAAAGCCAAGAGCATTGGTTTGTGGGTGAAAATAATGGTGTTGAGTAGGGCTAATGCAGCATCAGGCCTCATCGCTTCGGCCTTATCAAGTCATCCCCTCAAGGTGCACGATCAAATTCATGTGGTATTTCCACTCTAGTATGGAGTAGGGATGCGAAGCGGACCGCTAGTGGAGAAAAAGGAAAAAAGTCGCCAAAAACACCGAAAGTAGGAGCCTCCTTGCTCAGTGCTGCGAAGAAGTCCAAGAGACAGACATCGAGATAAGGGATAATGTAAGTCGCGGAGAAGGAAAAGAACTTCGAGACACCATACAGGGTCAACATTATGAAACAGGCGAGATATCGAACGTTGGAGGGCACCGGTCATTCTGTGATCCGAATTCTGAGTGCCTCGTGTCTCATTGACGCGTTTAAAGTCGTGACATTAGCCTGGCAAATGAAGTGCCGAGTCCCTTGGCCAGGGGCAGGCATTTCGTTCACCTCTGTCCAGTGGAGGGAATGCCTGACCCTGGCCATCAAAGATACTTTACCCTTTCACCCAAGTACGGCACGCTCTCACACCCCTCCCCTCCCCTTCCCCACCCTCCCAACCACAAAGTCTCGCCTGCAATGCTTTATCCAGCTGCCCCTAGACGATTCGAAACTTGGTAAGTTCGAGCTTTCTTTCAATTCTTTTTATCCAGACAAGATACAGAAATGGTAGTGTCCATGTGGAGGGACGTAAAAGCCCTGATGATATAAAACGGTGATCATAGTCCATTCAAAAGCTTTTAACCTTGTCATATTTGCACGTAAGCTGGTTCATTCGATCGGCCACGGTCAAATTGAGCACTTGGCTTTCGTCCAACAACGGGGTGCAAGTAAGGGTAGGCAGATCGAGGACGATTGGTGCTGTCTGAAATGTTCTTCAGAACAGAGCCACAATGAGGAAAGAAAAGTTTGGGACAACGTTCAGTAAGTTAAACCGTACCTTCGTCTTGACGTGAAGTAACCACTGCAGTCCGCAATGACACTGGAATGGATTGCCTTCGAGAAACATACGCAGCTGATTTTGTGGACCGCTCAGGGAGCCCTCTTTCAATTCTGTCAAGCGGTTTCCTCTGAAAAAACGAGTAAGTAGATAAACTGCCCCTGGACGTTCGAGAAGCAACTGTGGCTCGACTCGAGAGTTAATATTTCAAATTAAAAAAAATGCTGGCTTACTTCAAATCAAGGAGAGCTAATTCTTTCATGTGTCCTAGAGCGCCTTCTTGAATAAAAGTGATTTGGTTATGAGAAAGATCAGCTTGTTTCAGCGAAGGTGGGAGCATGTTCACTGATCCACTACCAACAATAAAATCCAGCTGATTTCCGGAAAGGTCTATTCGACGAAGATTTCTGAAAAAACAGACTTTACTCGGGTATTCGTCGAAGGATAGCATGTAACATAAACTTTAAGTTACATATCCCTGGACCGAATGCTAATTCATCTGAATGGCCATTTGTGTTACCGGCGCCAGAGATGCCAAAATGACTTGAGTTTACAAAGATTTTGGTCCGAACACCGGCTCTCTCCAAAAGTTACTCATTCAGGCAAAGCGGCTTCATATAGACCTCAATGTGCTACGTCCAATGATACAATCTTCGCCATATCTCTCCCCCCGGAAGGGATCTCAGGCCTTATGCAGTGATGGAGGGGTTGAAGGGCAGTGGTGCGGCAGTTGCGCTTCTATAAATTTTTTCTAGTGGAGGAGGTCCCCGAAGTGGGTGAACCATTTGGCTTATACCACCCCATAAATCTTCTCTGCAATTTCGAATAACCATAGGTGCTGGGAATTGTGGCATCACATCTTCCCCTCCCCCTCTACTGGACAAGACTCGAAACCTTTTCTAGACCTTTACCATTACCAGAAAAAATGAAGTACGCATGATTGGTTTACCTTGCACTCTGTGGTACATAATGAACAGTAGTGATGTAGTTGTTGCGCAGTGAGAGGTCTGTAAGGCCTTCCGGTAACCTGAAATCGAAGGCAAATCTTGAGTGATTGTTGTTATCTATTCTGATATTCTCACCTTACCTTAAAGACTGATTTGTAACAACTCATCACTTAAACACACTTGACTACTTTAAGAACAATTCAGACCGCAAACGGCTTGCCAACGAAGTGCTTGTGGTCAATGCTAACGAAACGGGCTCGGTTTGAGTAGGATTTTCAAACGGAGTCATGGTCGTAGAAGTTGGAAGTCGTGTTTAGATGGAGGGGTAGATGAGGGACGTTATTCTCAGAATTTTCACAATTTTCATGAAAAATTATGAAGTAGGTGCAAGTAGAGCATTTGTCGTTCCTCCGACATGTAAACCCCTTCTCACTCAACCGTTTTTGGAGGGACAGTGTAGGGAAACTTGAGGGGTTATTAGTGGTTATAATGCCTGTGAGAATGTGAGAATGTGCCTCTCTCAAGGCTGATGGCAGTAGTCGTGTGCAGGACTCTTCAAAGGAGTTTTTTTTTATTTTGTATTAGCTCATGGTCAGGGGGTGCAGGTGTGTGTCGATGCGAGACCCGTAGGGCGTGTTGGCAAGCGGCAAGACGTGAAGTGATAGAGTATGTCGGAGTCAGTGAGCCGATGGGCGGCGGGGGCAATGGCAAGCGCGGTGCGGTCCGGCGTCGCTTATCACGATGGGTTAGGGGCGGGGGCGGGGACGAGCGTGTGGTGGTCGTGATGTGACAATTTTGAAAATCAACCAACATTACGGTTGAACCTGCTCTCACAGCTCATTTATGGTAAATCATAATAAAACCCAACGTGGATTAGCTGTGGTCTGGTTCAGACAATGGGCAAAGAAGTTGACGCCAATGACTTCAAGCTCCACGCAAACTGGTAACTAACCTTCGAAAATCGATATTTGTGAGTTTGTTGTGGTTCATAGTCAACACATTCAGGCTTGTTAGCGAAATCATTGTGTTCGTGAGGAAACCGATCGAATTGTTGCTCATATCCAGTTGAATCAAATTCCTAAAAGGGCACTACGGTTTTAGGTCTACTGAAGATAGTTTCAAACAGACGGTTTATTAGAACGAAGCAATCTGGCCATTGCAAAGGTTTGGGCTATTGTCTGTACTGCTAACGAATTCCATTATTCCGTGGGGCTAGTCATACTATACAAACAAAATAAGCCATCATTGAGGTGATATGAGTATCAGATTCAACCTCTTTTCAAAACATTTAATTTTGCAAAAACAAGAAGAAAATAAATAAGCGTCATGGCGGCGGTCTGGAAATTATAAGCATTTTTGGAACTGTCTCTAGATTTTTTTGGCGATCCCTTATTCGGTAATAAGCCAAGTTTAACATGCACACAATTTTAAAATCCGAATTGCCGTTCAGCCAAATAAAATTAACAAGAAAAGAATTAATTCCGAATTAGTTGAGGTTAGAGAACAAACAAATCAATTAATCAATCATGAGGGCATAAGTAAATAAACAAGTAAACTAACCGTAACGTTCGCAAAGAATAGGGCTCAATACGCAGATCATTGCCGCTCAAATCAAGGGTCATCAGATTCGGCGTGTATAGAAGTAACTCGTCGGGTATTGAAGGCAATCTAGCATTCTTAATAATCAGTGAGTAGAGCTTGTGGAGACCCTAAAACGATGTAAATTCCTTTAAAACATGAAGCTGTCGATATGTTCGTCAATAGAGTGAGCAATTGCAGAGCGGTTGATTTTGTGCTGTATACTAAGTCACAGTATATATCAGTGCTGCTTCCCTTGATGCGCCACGAATTCTACTTCCATTCAAAACATCAATGGCATTTTGGGGGTTATTTGATCAGTTCCAATGCCCTGTGAAGGCGCAGTCACAGTTCGTAAATCTCGTGTTTGAGTGTGATAACAATTAACTGCCGCAGAGTGATGGAAGGCATAGTTGGTCTGGCCGACAGTATGCGAAAGAAGATTCGATCTTCGGATCGCATACGTGGTAAGCAGTGCTTTTGCCAATACATCACTTCCGCCCCGATATGTCCATGTTTCCAATAACAACATCATCAAATTCGCTTGTTGCGAGTGATATGAGAACAAAATTAGTCCCGCTGCAGCCGTGCACAGGAACGATCCTGAACGATACAGTCTTAATTGGTTATAATACTTCGGTAAGGTATCGTCATCTACATAAAGTATGCATTATGGGGTCAGCGCTTTCCATATGGCCAACTTTCTACCTCATTAAATTAAGTATTAAAATCTTACATAGCTGCGTATTGAATAGGAAGGAAGAAGCATTAAATTTTATTGGTTCCTAGCCTCGGTTATGTGAGAGTTCATGGTCCATCGAGGTTTTTATAGCAACGTATAAGTGAACTCCTCACGTACTAATAGCACTGGTTCGAAGATTAAGGACAGAGTTCGGAGCAGCGCACACAATTCTCCAGTTGGTTGTTTTCAATTCAACTGGGGTATTCTTTAGGCGTTCCACTGCATGTGTGTCCGCAGTATATACCTAGGGTTGTTTGTCGTGTTCCCTGACCGGTTTGGTAACAAATTACCGAGCTCGAAGAGATGATAGATAACCTTGAATGGTTCAAGCGAGGTTCATCAACTTTTAATCAAAAACACAACGGGATGTATCGAGGGGAGAGCCTTGGTGTCAGCTCTTCGTTTCGGTTTCCTAATTCCGTTGCTACTGGGGGTTCTGATCCAAAGAGTCCGTTTTCAATCAAAAACTTTTGAAGTAACTGGAACTTTTTATTTCTTGCTTTACCAACTCAAACTGTTTGACACCCGTCAAAGCCATCCTGGGTACATTTTCCCTTCTACATATTTGCAGTCTCTGCCATTATACGTCGTTGATCTTGTACACGCTGATATCTTTCCAAATGTATTGGCAAAAGAAAGCCAGAAATGCTGGAGTGTATAGGCAACCCTTTCACCCTACGTAACTCTACAAGAAGCTATGGACGAGGCTAGTTCAAGAAAGAAGCGCTAGTCTCCCGAAATTCGAGTTTATCTGGGATTTTTCAAGATGGCTGTTGTTGTGTTGTTATTGGCGCCGTTGGCGGCGGTTCAAATGCAATGGCCATCAGACGGCCGTTTCATTGGTTTGTCGCTGTGGACTTACGCGTACGACAATTTGCGATTTGCACAATAGGCTCAACCGGAAAGAGCCCTAAAAAAGATCATTCGAAAAGGGCAATTCTGAAAATAGAAACGAACCGACAGCAGAGCTTTCGGCAAACTCGTTAATACGCAGCGGTCAATTTCAAGTCGATCCAAATTCCGAAAACCCTGAAAAATTCGTAAGCTGAAGATTTTCCACTGATTGGGTGAGAACCGTAATGGATAGGAAAGGAGTATCGCACCAGAAAAAGCCCTGGTGGAGGTGTGCTCTTCTTCTTGGAAAAATGCGGACATCGAATGGTGAGCGTACGAACCGTTTCGGGGCGACTCAACGATCGAAAATCAGTCGAGTTCAACTGAAATTAACAATAAAAATGGTTCAATTAACTCAAAAATTGAGTTAATTGAAGCATAGTTCAGTCCGACACTGAATTAATTATTAGTTTTACTTCCTGATCCTTTATACTATCGCCAACTCCATTTTTCTAACCCAACAATTTCTTTTGTTATTTTGGCAGCAACCAAGTAAGCTATAATTGGTCTGTTATTGATACATATTTGTAAACAGAAGTATTGAGTATCGCTGGTACTTCGTTCATGGTCCGTGCCATCTCCCGTTCATTCTTGTATACACGCATCGAAAAAGCATATTTATCATTATATCTGTAAGCTTATGCGCAAGAAAACAAAATAGAAAAGATTCCAAATGGGACAGACACCAACCATAAGCCACTTTTCCTTGAGTGCTTCCGGCTCAGGTAAATACCGGTAACCTATCGGCCCAGAGAAGGAAAGGGCAAGGTTTATTTTTAAGGAATTGCAGTTAAAATCACAACCCAGGCAGAAGTTGTGTGAACTATTCCCTTCGGTCTGTAGGATAGACCCCTAGAGGACAATCACAGATGTGGCATTCCCGTGCACGGAAATCACCCGACAAGAGCGCTAGGGCCTTGCAAAGTAAGCTGCAGCAGCTGCAATTTTTTCTTCTTATCAGGCTGTTGTCTGGCGCTCTCTCATCTGTTGCGCTCTCTCGCCTCATACTCTCCTCTCCGCGCTTAGTCTCTCATTCCTTAGCACAGCCGATTAAGAAGACCAATTCGATGCTGGGTATGCCGTTGAGGTCTTTTCTTATAAAGCTTTTGCTTTTTTTATTGCACGAATTTCACAT